CTGGGCACAAGCCTCAAAAGAAGAGGCTATTTCTTCCCAAGGTATGAAGGTTTACATATCAGAAACTGAAGCAGCAGCCTCCTAAGCTCATTCGTATGCTATCCCAATGAGTTATGCAGACTGGTATCTCTGCATATCTTATTCCTGCATATTGCAGAGGTGCCTGTTCTCTGCCCTGCCTCAGCTCACCTTGCTAACATAGTTCCCACCATCTTTACTGTAAGGCACCGTTGAACCACTCCCTTCACAAGATAAATTCTGGGAGAGGCCTTGAACCAACTTTGTCCATATATCCACACTGGATCAGGTTAGGACCACTGGGATGCCCACAACTTTGAATGTCTTAGTGTCTTTACTCTTGCCATGGGTTGCACTGGATGAGATAGACTGGAACTAACTCCCTGGAATTCCAATAATGTTTCTATGGGATTACAAATATAACTTCCAGATTGTGAGGTGAATGAGAAAAGGGATTAAAATATTTGGACTACTGTACATCCAAGGATGTACAATCCTTGGATTACACTATTAGAAGGAACTTTTATCGAAATTATAATATTGGGACCCAAAATGTCCAAAGGAGTCTACGTTGGGGATTAACAAGGCAGCCAAGGGGCTGCCGACCAGGAATGCTCTGTTCTCTGTGGCCATGGCCGTGGCTATCTTCCTGTTCCTGGTGTACCTGATGCACTGACACCAATGCTGGGCCACTTGCTAACCCACCAGGCTCCCCCCCAGTGCCCGGGCTGGGCAACCTGCTGCAGGTGGACTTCCATAAGGTGAGGAAGTGGAGGTGGTGATGGCATAGGTCACAGTGACCCGTGGCTGCAGATGGGTGGTGGGCCATAGCTGAGCTGGGATGTGGAATCCCAATAGAAAGTAGGGGTGAAGATTCCTGGGAGAGGGCACTGTAAGGCCAAGGAATACTTTTTACTTTCCAAGGACAGGAGTGGAGTGGGACAGTCAGTGGAACTGGGAGAGAGTGTAGGGTGGAAGTTGTATAAGCCCCAAGTTTCTCCTGATGACATCAGAGGGAACCATGCTTGGATAGGGGAGTGGACCAGGGCTCTGAGCTGCTCCTGTGCAGGAAGTTGAGGTTCAGAAGTGGCCACTTCTGGCTTCATGGCATTTCCTGCAGCGGGTCTTGGGCCTTTCTGCTCTTTTCTGTGAATTTGATTTCCTTCTCTGTAACCTGAGAATGATGGGCCCCGCCTACAGTGTCCTGACTCCATCCAGGTCATAGCTGGGGAGAGACATCAGATCTGCCTCTAAGGTGATTGCTCTGAACATCAAAGGATGTGACCCCCAGCGTGAGACCTGAGATCTTGGGGCTTAGTGGGGACTTGGGTTCCTTAGTGGGACCAGGAGTTCTATCCGCAAGCTAAAAAGCAAAAGGTACAAAGTGGTCCTTATTTTGTGTGATCTTGGGGCTCCCTGCTTGACAAGTACCCTGCCTTCCACATGTAGCTGCAAAGTGCTTCAGGCATGTGTTTAGCTTGCAGCTGTCCTGAAAACCAGATGTTGTGGTCAATGGATTGGAGTCCACGTGGGAGGCAGTATGAACCAAGCCCAGCAAGGACACTGGAGACCGGCCACCCTTTCCCATCTGTGAGCACCTGGGCTTCACCGAATTCCAAAGGCAAAGCATGGAGGGGCACAAATGGTGTCAGAGTAACAATGGGGGCAGTGACCAGTGGGAGGCTAGGGCCTAATGGGAAGAGTGATGTCAGAGACACAAGGAACAGCCTTGCTTCCCTAAGGTGAATTCTGGAAAAGTATCTAAGGTAGGGTGGTTTGGGGTTAGCTCGGTGCTTGGTGTCTGGGGAGGAGTTGTGCCCAGAGGAGTAGAGAAGAGGTAAGGGCACAGAAGGCATGCCTGGAGTCTTCTTTCCCCAACATGGCATGCTGAGGTGAGGCCAGGCAGCACCCAGGCGGCCAGATTGTGCATTTTGTAGATACTACCAGGGCCAGGCTGGCTGTATGTAATGCTGAACAGAGACCGTGCCTCCCTGTCTCAGGAACAATGTAGTAAAGAAGTCTCATGCTGGCAGGCCACAGTCTGACTGAGCCCACAGGCCACCGTGCATGCCTTGGGGAGCCTGCCGTAGGGCCTCAGCTTGTTGGTGCCCAAGGGGCAGCCCCGACCCAGTGACCATGGTGTCCCTTACTTCCTTGTGATCCCACCCCCTACCAGCTATGTGCTGTTTCCTGCTACAAGAGGCACCAAGGTCCTAACCTGCCCCCAGTTGGGACCCTGAGCCACAATAAACCAGTTTTGTGGCTGCCACTGTCAATTGGTGTCTGAGTGTACCCCCTGACTTGACCTTGTCTGAGTCAGCCCTGTCCTTTGTGTCATCCACCCTGACAGCCACTGCAGTCCACAAGCAAACTGGTTTTATTGATGCTTAAGAGGTGACAGCTCACTTCAGGCCACCCTGACACCCATCCCTACCACTGGCTGATGACAAAGCCCAGGCAGCAATACGGGCTCGATGGGTGTCAGGTTGGGGCAGTTGTGATTGAGCTTGTACTGGAAATCGGCCCAATCCCTGGCAGGTGGCAGATGCTCCTGGTGGTCCCCAAGAATCCCCCAAGGTCTCAGAACCAGCGAAGCTGTCACACTCATCCTTCTGTTTTTTCAGAGGAAAGGAGAGATAGAATCAGCAGCAGGAAAAGGTACTCAGGGTGGAATCCAGGAAACTGGGCAGGAGGGTTCAGTTGTGCTCTCTGAGGAGAGTCACAGATGATGGTCAGTGCTTCCAGCAAGTCCCAGCAATTCCCAGCACATGGCTGACACTGGTCAACAGGAAACTAAGTAGAACCTTGGTACCGAGGCATTTGTTGGGGCTGAGCCTTACAGTGCTGCTGTTTCCACATGGTTGACATCTGTGACTTAGTTGAGTCTTAGTTGGCTCAATGAGACAGCTCAAGGCTCCCACTAGTACTGCAATAAATAAATGAATAAATAAATAAAATCCTTGCTGGGGACTTAGCTTAGTGGAACAAGTACATGCCTGGCAAGTGTGAGATCATGAGTTCAATCCCCAGCACAAAAAAAAAAAAAAAAAAAAAAGGGAAAAAAAATCCCATCTGGCATAGGTAGAGCTTGTGGCGTGCTGCAGAGCCCCAGGTGTGTGAAGGAGCCCTTATCAGATAGGGGTCCAAAGGCCTCAGGAAAGGCTCCCAGCAGTGGGTTTGGAGTCTGACATCCGCTTGCTGTCAGCAGCACTGATGTATCCCAGCAGCTTAGGTGACTTACTGCCTGGCCCTCTCCTCTTGGCTCTGAGAGCAAAACAATCACATGCACAACAGTGTCTCTTTCTTTCTTTTTTAATAAGGTATCTCCTTAAAGTATGACATTTTGCATTTGTGGTCTTTTGCTGTGTGTGTGGCCTGCCAATGTGTGTGGTGTGCTGGGAGTGGAACCTGAGGCTCTGTGCATTTCTGCCCCTGAGCTCCACCCAGGCCCTTTTCCCAGTGTACTCAGTAGCCCGCAGCCCTCAGCAATGCCCCTCCACTGATCTCTTTCCAGCTGTGAAAACTGAGGCTCTCAATCCCTGTGACAGTGGCTGCCATCCCCTCGTCTCCCCTCTGCTGGTGACCACCAGTCTACTTTCTGTTTCTGAGTCTGACCCCAGTGGCCATGGGGAGATCATCAGAGAGGAATCTTAAAACTTTTCAGGTAAGGCATCGTCCTCAGGATTCCTCCATGTGGCAGCAGGTATCACGGCTCCTTTGCTTGAAGGCAGCGTAACTTCATTGTGTGGATGCCCAGGAGCCCCCAACCACACTGTCTCTCCTTCCTCAGTGTCTTTTAAAGGTGGGCATCACAGTGTGAACACGTTCCATGCAGATTCCAGAAACTGCTAATTCATAAATTGTCAGTCATGAGCTTTCCCGAGGAGCCTGGTTAATCCCATGCCTCCCTCCTCTCTGCTACTCACTAAGCACGGAGCCAACGCCTTCATCCAGCAGATCTATGCTGCACTGGATTGGGATCTGTCAGTCACTTCACAGTGGGCTTGGTGATCACATGGACTGTTGCTCTCTCCAGTTCAGTGTTGTCATTTAAGGCCCAGAGCAGCTGATGCCACAGCACTGTGCCCCCCCCCCCAATTTCCTGTCATCACAGAGACATTGATCAGCTTGCAGCATCCCACAGGGTATGTGGGAGAGGAGACCCTGTTCAAATGCCTTCATTACAGCCCACTGTTCCTGTGCGGTCAAGGTTTTGTTCATAAACTCTTTGCCTTTACCAATGTTTTCGAGAGTTTTATCTATTGTATTTTGCAGCAGATTTGGTATTTCTGTTTTCATATTTAGACTTTCCATTCATTCCAAATTTAGTTTAGTGCCTGGTGATGAAAGAGATGGGTCCAATTTTAGTCTTTGGTATGTGCAGAGCCAGTTTTCCAGCACCATGTATTTAAAAGACTAATTCAATGTGCAGTGTATGTACCATTATTACCCCGACTGATGTGCTTTGAAAGTTTTTTTGTTCTTTCGTTTCTTTCTTTTTTATGTTTGAATAAGATGGATTTTAAAAAAGAATGAGAAAAAAAGGGAAAGAAAGAGATAAAAAAGGTAAAGAAAAGGCTGTCTTTCTTTCAGTGAATGTGTCAGGAATTCTTATGAAAGTTGAGTTGGCTGAGTGTGTCTGGAGTTTGGAGTTGTTTGTGCATCTTCTAATCTGTTCCACTGATCTTCTGGGTTTTTAAAATTTTTTCCCCAGCACCAAGTTGGGTTTGTCCCAGCAGCTTTCCAGTGCATTTCAAGTCAGCGATTGTGATGTCACATCCTGCCTTTGTTGCCCAGGATTTCCTTTGCTATAGCAGTTCTCTGCTGGTTCCGGATGGATTTTACAATTGTTCTCTCTAATTCTGTGATAATGTTGTTGGAATTTTTATTGGAATTGTATTAAATCTGTGTAAGAGTTTTGGAAGCATGGCCATTTTCACTATATTGGTTGTTCCTATCCAAGAGCATGGGACGTCTTTCCATTTTCTAATATTCTCTTCAGTCTCCTTTTTCAGAGTACTGTAGTTTTCAACCTACATTGAAACTACAGGGTCTTTTACATCCTTCATTACACTGAGGCCTAGGCATTTTGTTTTTTAGGATCCGACTGTGAAAGTCCTGTGTTGTTTCCCTGATTTGTCTCTCAGTGAGTATGCTTTTTGTGCAGGAAGGCTACTGATTTTTTAGTGCTGACTTTGTATCCAATTATGCTAGTAAATTTGTTTATTAAATCTACCAGTGTTTTAGTGGAGGTTTTGGGATCTTCTATGTAGAGTAACATGTCACCTGCAAATAATGGTAATTTAACTTCTTCTTTTCCTACCTTTATTCCTTTTATTTATTTCTCTTGTTGAATTGCTCTGGCTAAAGTTCCAGGACAATGATGAATAAGAGTGGAGACAGTGGTCACCCCTGTCTTGATCTTGATTTTCTTTTATTTCATTTTCTTTGGTACCGGGAATCACACTCAGGACCTCATGTTTAGCAGCAGGCAATGTACGACTGAGCTAAATCCCTGGCTCTGGTTCCTGATTTTAGAAACAGAGTTCTCATTTTTTGTCTTTTTAGTATGATGTTGACTGTTGGTTTGTCATAGATGGCTTTTATCAGACTGAGATAAAGACCATCTATTTTCAATTTTCTAGAAGGTTATTATCATAAACTGGTGTTGGACATTGTCAAAAGCTTTTTCTGCATCTGTTGAGATGATCATATGGTTTTGTCCTTGGGTCTGTTAATATGGTACGTTTCATTTATTGGTTTGCATTGCTGCATCCCTGTGGTGAAGCCCATTGGGTCATGGTGTATAATCTTTTTGATAATTTTGTGCATTGTTTGTCAGTACCTCATTGAGGATTTCTGCATCTATGTTCATTAGGAAATTGCTTTGTAACCCTTTTTCTTAAATGGGTCCTTCTCTAGTTTTGCTATCAGGGTAATGTTTGTTTCCAAGCATGAGTTTGGGAGTATTGTTTCCCTTCAATTTCATTAAAGAGTTTGAGAAATAGTGGGATTAGGTCTTCTGTAAGTTTTTTGTAGAATACAACAGTGAACCCATCAAAGCCTGGGTCTGTCTTTATTGAAAGGTTTTTAATTATATGTTCAATTTCATTTACTGATAGTAGGTTATTTAGGAGTTTTATATGTTCTGGGTTTAGCTTAGATCACTCATATGTACCTGGGAATCTGTCTATTTCTTTTATACTTTCCATTTTCTTAAAATACAAGTTTTCAAAGTAGGTATAGATGATCTTCTGAATTTCTGCACGGTCGGTTGTGATTTCACCTTTTTTATTCCTAAGTGCATAGATTTGCATCGTTTTTTTGTATGAGGTTGGCTAAGGGTTTGTCAGTTTAATCTTTCAAAGAACCAATGCTTTGATTCATTGATTCTTTGTATGGTTTTTTAGTCTCCAATCTGTTAATTTCTGCTCTGATCTTTTTAATTTCCTTTCTTGTACAAGCTTTTGGCTTAGCCTGTGCTTCTTTTTCTATAAGTCTGAAGTTTACCATTATGTTGTTTAAATGCATTTGCTCTGTTTTTCTGACCTGAGTCTTTAGTGCTATAAATTTTTTTTTCCTTAAGATTGCTCTCATTGTGTTCCATAAATTCTGGTATATTGTAGTGTTGTGAGCGGGTTTTTTTTTTTTTTAGTGTTGGGGATTGAACTTACAACCTCCTGTTTGCCAGTCAGCTGAGCTAAATCCCTGGCCCTATCATTATTACTTGACTGTAAAAATTGTCCAATTTCTCCTTTAATTTCATCTGTGACTCTGTGGTTTTTCAGCAGGATGGTATTTAATTTCCATGTGTCAATGAAGTTCTTGTGGTTTCTTCTTCCATGGATTTCCAATTTCATTGCACTGTGGTATGATAGTATGCATGTGATAATTTGAATTCCTTTGCATTTACTTAAGGAAGTTCTATGAACTAGTCTGTGTCTATCTTGGAGAATGTTCTGTATGCAGCTGAGAAGAATGTTATTCTAATGGCATGGGGTGGAACACTCTACAGACATCTACTAAGTCTATTTGTTCAAAAGTTTGGTACAGTTCTGATATTTCATTATGAATTTTGTGTCTAGTTGATCTTTTTGTGCCAGTGTGGTATTGAAATGTCCCAATACAATTGTATTAGGGCTTATTTGATTTTCATGTCCATTAGAATTTGCTTTATATAGTTGGATACACTAGTATTTGGTGTATATAAATTTATGATTGTTGTATCTTCCTCTTGGATTATTCCCTTTATGAGGGTGTAGTGTAGTGACCTTCTTCATCTCCCTTAATCAGTCTTGGCTTGAAATTCACTTTGTCTGCAAATAGAACAGCTACCCCCCCCTTTTCTGGGTTTGTGTCTCATGGAGTATTGTTTTCCAACCTATGACTTTCAATCTATAAATTTCTTTGTGAATTAAATGTGGTTTGTGTAAGCAGCACATTGTTGGATCTTGCTTCCTGATCCATTCTGCCAGTCTGTTTCTTTTGATTGGTAAATGGAGACCATTAACATTGATAGTTATAACTGATATGTATTGACTTATCTTTGTCATGTTATTTTTCCATTTTTGGCTCCCCCTCTTTTTTTCTCTAACTTTTGGCCTTCTTTGGTGGATTCTTTCTGTTGAGGTTCATGGAACTGTACTCCTTAGTATCTCTTTCTAGAATGTCCTTCAGAACATTTTGGCAGTGCTGGTTTGGCAGTTGTAAATATCCTGAGATGTTCTTTGTCATGGAAGTATCTTATTACTCCATTAGCAGTTGTAAATATCCTGAGATGTTCTTTGTCATGGAAGTATCTTATTACTCCATTAGTTTTGAAAGACACTTTTGGAGGATACATCAGTCTGGGTTGAAAGTTGTTTTCCTTTAGAGCTTGGAATACTTCACACCAAGGTCTTCTTGACTTGATGGTTTGTGCTGAGAAGCCAGCTATGATTCTGATGGGCTTTCTTTTATAGGTGATTTGTCTCTTTTCCTAACAGCACATAAGGTTTTATTCTTGTGGTGAATTTCTGGAATGTTGACTATGATATGCTTGATTGTAGAATTTTCTTGAGCAGGGTTAATGCAATTCAATATGCTGCACTTGCCTGTATGTTAAATCTTTTTCTCTACTGGGGAAGTTTTCTGCCATGTCATCTGTGAACATTTTCTAAATATCAGTTGTGTTATCTCCTTTTTCGTGGACTCCAATCAATCTTGTTATTTTTCTCCGTTTCACCTAGCACCTGCTGGATTGATTTCTCACAGTCCTTTGCTGTTTTTGAGAAATCTTTCTGTTCCTGATAGCTAACTGCAAGCCTGTCTTCTATATCTGAGATCTTGTCCTCATATTGGCCTATTTTGCTTTGAATATTTTCAATGGAATTCTTATTCTCCTGGATATCTGCTTGAATTTGCCTTATAGATTCCATTTCTTTCCTATGCTGAGCATTTCTTTTGAATGTCTTTTTTTTCCTATGGAAATAGAACTCATGACCATGCACTTGACAGGCAGGTGCTGTGCCTCTCTTTGAGTTATATCCTCATTTCTATGCTGAGCATTTAAGACTTCCATAATTTTCTTCAGCTTGTCTATTTTTTTGGTCTGTATCTGCTCTAGCGTCACTAAGCATGGTCTTTATCTGAGAGATTATTTCTGATTTCATTTTTTTTTGTCTTTTTCCTTTTTCCTTTTTTATCTGTACCAGGGATTGAACTCACAACCACATACTTGCAAGGCAGGTGCTTATGCTGCTGAGCTAAACCCCCAGCCCCTAGATTTCACTTTTTTTTGAGAGCCTTATTCAATTGCCTTGTTACCACTTCAGCGAGACCAGGTAAGTATTCTGGATTGTCCTACCTCATTGCCCCCTGGATTTCCCTTTGGTGAACATAATATCTGAGATTACATTTTAAGTGTCTTTTCATTTTTTCTTTCTTTTTTTTGGTTTAATTCCTGGGGTGTTGCATGTAAATTGCCTACAGTGGGTTCCTTTATTGATAATATTTGCGACACTTAGGTGATGACTACTTCTCCGAAGTATCTTTCCAGTGTAGCTGTTTTTTCTTTTTAAAGAGGGTAAGATTAAACATAACAAAATGGAACAAAACAGATCATAAGGAAACAATTAAAAATATGGAATGCTTCACAAATTTGCATGTCATCCTTGCGCGGAGACCATGCTGATCTTCTCTGTATTGTTCCAATTTTAGTGTATGTGCTGCCAAAGCAAGCACAGTGTAGCTGGGTTTTGAGTCTGCTGGCAGATTCTACCTCCTCAATTTATATGACAAGTTGCTGATTGTTTGACCCAGTCCCTTGTTCCTCAGCGCTGTGCCACAGTATTTTCTGTGGTCCTTAATCAATCTCAGTCATGGCATAGCAGAACCAACAAGTTTGTGTCAGTGATGGGAGATGGCATTAGCTGTCCAGGCAGTGTTGTTGCATTGTGCTCAGTTTCTTCAGCTTGTCTGTAGTTTCTGGTTTTCCTGTTAGTTCACTCCTGATTTCCAGAAATTTTTTTTTTCTTCACCAAGTTATTGTTTTTGAAGTGTCTTGATTCCAGTTCTCAGAAAGGCGGTACTGTGTTTTGTTGTTGGTCTTTACTCCACCATTTTTATTCCTGTGGCCTGTTGCCAGTGGCATAAAAAGAGAACAGGAGGGAAAGACTGCATGCTGTTGATTTTTTTGCAACAGCTTGCTGAAGCTGGTTTTACTGATATGTACCTGGCTGTTCTTGACACTGAAGGTTCTTCCTGTCACCAGGGATGGCTGCTGTTCTCTTCAGTGGAGCTTTAGTCCTCACATTTGTCTTGAGTGTTGCTTCTAGTCCGCTACTGCAGATCCCTCAGCCTTGTGGTACAGATCTTTCAACATTATTTTTATAACACATTTAAATATCCATCTTAGTACTGAGTAAAGTAACACACAGCATATGTATCACAAGGTTTTTAAAGGTTATTACTTGACTGGTAATCTCATCTTGATTTGACCATTTCTTTCATGAAGGTTTTTAGAAGGAACAACCTGAGCTCTACCAAATTAACAAGCAATCATATATATAGTTTCTTTTTAATAAAGTACTTCCATAAGCTTTCTTCAACATACATAAGCATTTTAGTCTTGTTTACTATCTCTCTTCCTCTCTTTTTGGCACAAGGAGACATTTATCATGAATCCTCTCATACCAAAAGAATATCTCTTGCATGTATAGCCTTCTTAATATTTTCCCTCTACCATTTACTATAACATTGTATAACAAACTTGACAGCAGCCATTTGAACTTTAAAGTGTTTCCTTTTCTCCTCAGATAATAAACATGACCTACTCCCAATAGACCTCTGAGTAACCTTGAATCAGTGTCTTTCTTTTCTTTATTTTTTTCCCTGTTTAAAATGGTTTCATTCTAAGAAGGATCTTAATAGGCCTCCTGATTGGAAGTGTGAGAAAAAATTCTCAAAGATAGCCAAAACTCAATAAAAATGTATTTTCATGTACAGTACAATATAATTATGTATTATATTAAAGTGCAGTAGATTTCATATTAGAAATACAGTACAAACTCAGTTTTAAATACTTTGCATACCAGTATGCAACTAGATAACACAAAACGATAATCTGGTTCCTTTTTCTTTTTTTTTTTTAAATTTTTAAAAAAATTTTATTTAAGGAGGAAAAAAACAGAAAAAGGGTACAAGTTATACAGAATTTCAGAAAGAATAAACAGTAGGAAATCACTAGTTAATAGATTACATATTATCTTAGAAATAGTTGTTCAAGTTACAAAATTAAAGCATATAAAGTGGACTTTCAAACAGTGAGACTGCAAACAGTTTTGTTCAGTGATCCAACAAAACTCAGTAATATGGTTATCTATCTTATACTCTTAAATATATATGCAGTTGTATGCTTTAGAGCACTTCCTTTTCTTTTCTTTTGTACAATGACAATTACACATTTTGGGTTTTATTACTCCCACAGTTCTTATTACTTTTTTTTGAAGAGAGTAAAACCAAATGTGACATAATATAACAGAACAGAGTCAGTCAAATCAAAAGGATGGACATAATAGATAATGTAAAAACAAAATAACAGGTGATCAACAATTTACCATACTGCCTCTTGCTATCTTAAAAAGAATTGCCTATATCTTCAGTTATAATAAAATTGAACAAAACAGTAAAGAATAAAACCAAAACATTGGAGACTTTACAGGACTTTAAAAGAAGATAACAGTCAACCGGAATGGGCGTCATAATGAATCTTATTGTCTTCACAGTTGTTGCCTATACTTTCGAACTTGGTACTATCAAGCAAAGCAGAATAGGGGAAAATCAGTCAAAACAAGATGGTGAGGGCAATACAGGGTTTCAAATCAAGTTAGCAGGAAATCAAAGTGGGTTACTATAATGTATCCTGCTATTTTTTATTTTTCCCTTAATTAGAAAAATAAAAATAAAAAAGTAAATAATTAAAGAAAGGAGATTGCGATAAAAGAGGGCATTAACAACAAAACAGCGCCGGTCAAAGCATAACCGTTTAAGCAAAATAGTGTTTCACCACAAGATATCCTGACATAAAAGTAGTTACCATAGTGTCTCTTTCCTTAAAATCTTTGAGTATAACTTCGTATACTGTAGCCTGGTTCCTTTTTCTATGAAATCCAATTACTTTTAATTTTGTGTTTATCTAATTAAAATTTGACTTTTTCAAACTTAAGTATATTTTATGATACAAAGCTATACTTAATATATCTAAATATGAAAAAACAAAACTCAAAATACTCTAAAACAAAAGTTGACCAGCGTGGCTATTGTTGAATTACTTCGTACTTTGGAAGACCTTAACGCAGTAACATGAGGAGGGTACTGCAATGCTGTCTGTCATCTAGGTGGCTGTATCTGATTGAACACCATTTCTAAATAGGTTTTGCAGAAAAACATCTTCACTTAAGAAATTACAAAAATGGGTCCATTTTGTATTCAAGAAAGATAAATACCAAACACGTGGTATAAAGATTACCGTAAGGCTTTTTAAAAAACACTTAATGAACTAAAATCATTTGTGAATACTTAACTAATGGCTTTTCGTCAGACGAGGCCAAAATATATTTCATAAGGGCGAAAGAGTAAAACTGCACAAACATCACTGGAACGCCCCTAACTGAAGGCCCCTTCCTTTTTGTACATTTTTCTCTATGCCTGGCACATTTCCCAACTGAAGTTGTTCCTAGTTTAATCTACCCCATCCCCTTGTCACCAGTGAAAACAATAAAGATCCCCCAGGCCAAAGCAAACAAAACTCTGAGGGGTGGGGGCAAGGAGAAGCAGCCCAAGGCGGCGCCATGAGAACAGAGGAAAACAGGGTAAAGAGAGGTGTTTCCTTAAAGCTCTAGGGTTACTCTCCAACTCCAAAGCCAATATTCACCGCGCAGAAGAGGAAGCTCATGCCACCAGGCGCTCCTTACACAATACTCAACCTTCCTTTCCACCCTTCCCAGAACCGCGCGGTCCACAGCAGAGCCTCACCGTCTGCTCAGCCCGCGCCGTCGGAGCCCCTCCACCAGACCGAGGTGCTGGAAAGGAGCTGGGACAGACGACTCCCCACAGAAAGAGCGCGCGCGGAGGGAGAGCGCCGCCAGGCGGGCAGGGCCACGGCAGCCCGCTCCCCGCCCCGACTCACCGTACGAACCCCAAGTCCGGCAGCCTGAAGCGGACCCAGTGAGCCCGCGCCAAAAAGGAAGACGGAAGCGCAGCGCCAGGGGATGAGAGCTGCGGCGGGCCAAAGAGAAAGAGGACCCTTGTCCCCGAGAAGGGCAGGGGGTGCCGTTGTTCCCACGGTAACTCTCTCCCCACCAGGGTCGAGACTTTGGAGGAGGGAGAAGGAACGTCCACTCGCAGCGGTCCGCGCTGAGCGGCTCCCGCTTGAAGGGCTTCCCTCCGCGCCGCCACCTCCGCCAGGGCTCCCCGCGGGACCCAGCCGCGCCGCAGCCGAACCGAGGCCTCAGCCACGAGCTCCTCGGGCCTCGACCAGCGGCTCTCTCACCTACACAGTGCGGAGGTGGCGGAGCCAGGAGCCCAGTTCCGCCGAAGGGGTCTCCTCCTCTCCACAGGGAACCGGCGGCAGGGGACATTCTCTCTCTTCTCCTTCTAACGGCGTCGCGTGACACGCCACGCCCCCTCATTTACATACGGGCACTGCGCGCCAGAGCACCCAAGGCGCGCCTCTGGGAGGGGTTTGATTGACACGTGTCAGTACCGCCCCTCGGCCCTGCCTTCCGCCTCCTGCTGCTGCCTCTGAAAGAAGGGAGAACTGAGCTGGAGAAGGATGGGACCTGCAGCTTCCATCGACCTCAGCTCCCCTTCCACTGCCTTGCCTCCCGCCCATTCCAGTTCACCCTTGGGAGCCCTATCGCGAAAGCCCTGAGCAGCAGTCAAAGACGTCTGTGTTTTCATTTTAAAACAGATTAGGAAAAGAGCCAGTTAACCTTGTAAATTCAAACTTTTTTAAAAAATGTTTTTTTAAAATTTTATTTAAGGAAAAAAGAGAAAAAAAAGCAGAAAAAGGGTAAAAGTTATACAGAATTTAAAAAAAAATAAACAGTAGGAAATCACTAGTAACTGGATTACATATTGTCATTTTAGAAATATTTGTTCAAGTTGCAAGATTAAAGCATATAAAGTGGACATTCACACAGTGAGACTGCAAACAGTTCTGTTCAATGATCTAACAAAACTCAGTAATATCATTGTCTATCTTATACATTTAAATATACATGCAGTTATATCGTTTAGAGCACTTTCTTTTCCTCTCTTTTGTACAATGACTATTACACATTTTGGGTTTTATTACTCCCACGGTTCTTATTACTTTTTTGGAAGAGAGTAAAACCAAATGTGACATAATAGAACAGAATCGGTCAAATCAAAAGGGTGGACATAATAGATAATGTAAAAACATAATACAAGATGATCAACAATGGTTACCATAATGCCTCCCGCTATCTCAAATAGAATTACCTATATCATCAGTTATAATAAAATTGAACAAAACAGTAAAGAATGAAACCAACAAAACCAAAACATGGGAAACATTACAGGTCTTCAAAATCAGATAACAGTCAACCAGAATGGGCGTCATAATGAATCCCACTATCTTCACAGCTGTTGCCTAAACTTTCGAACCTGGTACTATCAAGCAAAACAGAATAGAGGAACATCAGTCAAAACAAGATGGTGAGAGCAATACAGGGCTTCAAATCAAGTTAATAGAAAATCAAAGTGGGTTACTATAATATATCCTGCTATTTTTTATTTATTTTTCCCTTAATTAAAAGGATAAAAATAAAAAAGTAAATAATAAAATGGAGATTGAGATAAAAGAAGGCATAACAACAATACAGTGCCGATCAAAACATAACCATTTAAGCAAAATAGTGTTTCACCACAAGATAATCCCGACATAAAAGTAGTTACCATATTGTCTCTTTCCTTGAAATCTTTGAATATAACTTCGTATACTGTAGCATCAAATATATCAAAACAATGTAAAACCATTCAAGAGAATGATAGTATTACAGGGTATTTAGAATCAACTAACAGAAAATGAACAATGGTTTCTGTATAATCTCGTTATCTATAAAAGTTTTTGTTTATACTATCACATATAATAAAATCCAATAAGATACAACATGTTAAGACCTATGGAGACAGAAGACCAAAAGCTTGATGGGGCTTCAAGGCAAGATTATCATCTTGCTAAATCAGCATTACCTATTATGACATTGTTTTCTCCAAAATAGCTGTTCCTACCATCCAATCTTCTCTGCCTCATTTCTGTTGAGCTCTTTTTCTGTCATCAGTTGTAAGTTTGTCTTCTTCATTTTGTTTTCTGCTCCATTCATTGTGGCCTCTCTGCCACTATTTCTGGATTCTTCAAATTTTTCTTTTTTAGAATATCCTGCAGTATTCTCTGTAGAGCTGAATTGGTGGTTGCATATTCCTCTAGTTCCTCTTTATCCTGGAAGCACCTTGTTTTTCCATCAATTTCCAGGGATAGTTGTGCAGGATATATCAATCTTGGCTTGAGGTTATTATCTTTCAAAGCTTGAATTATCCCCCCCCCCCCACACTCTTCGTGATTTGATGGTTTGTGCCAAGAAGTCTGCTGTAATTCTGATGGGTGTTCCCTTGTAAGTGATCTGTTTCTTGTCTCTGATGGCTTTTAATATTCTGTTCTTATATTGGATTTTTGGTATTTTGATTATTATATGTCTGGGTGTAACTCTGTTTGGGTTGTAGGTGGCTGGGATCCTGTATGCCTCATACATCTGAGTATCTTTACCTTTTGCTAAATTAGGAAAATTCTCTTGGATTATTTCTGTGAGTAGCTTTTGTATTTCATTTGTTTGTGTCCCTACCTCTTCTTTTATGGTCTTAATTCTTAAGTTATAGATCCTCTTATCATCTTCTAGTCTTTGTATTATTGATGTTTGTTTCTTTGTTATTTTTAAGAAGTTTTTCATTTCATGCTCCCATATTACAAATCTGCCCTCCAGTTCAGATAATCTATCCTTAGTTTCTTTCAAGCTGTTATGCCAGTTTTTGATACAGTTTTTAATTTCTTGGTAATCTCTTTGAACCTGCTTCACGTATTCTATGTTTTCTCTACTTCAACTATCAAACAATTCTCCCCTCTTTTTCTGTTCTTCAATTCCACCATCTGTTTTTTCTTGGATGGTGCTTAGCATTTCTCTAAGTATTCTGCTTATGTCTTGCTTCAGGTCATTAATAACTTCATTCCTGAACTCGTCTATGAGGCTCTCGAGATAGTGCTTTATGTCTATTGGTGTCGTGTCTGCTATTGCCTGTTTCTCAGGATTGGGGACCAAGGAGCCTTTCTTGTTGCTCCCTCTTCCCATATTCTTTGTTCCTTATATACAAGCATATATAGGAGGCCCAGCTTCCTCCCCTGTTGGCCACAGTCTGTTTGAATTTCGCTGGCTAGGTGTTCCCGCCCACTGCAGCGCACCAGGGAGTTACGCCGGGCAGCCTATGTGGGACCCACCCCTCCAGGTCAACCTACGGAAGGCTTCACTGCTAGGGTGCACCTCCAGGCGCTGGGACCTGGGCTGTGCTAGCCTACTGGGTCTCAGCCAGCAGTGTCACATAGGCTAGGCACTGCTCACCAACCCCGCTTGAGAAGGGGATATGTGACTGAAGTCAATACAGCACCCTGTTCCGGCAAGTCTGCCTGGTCCCAGAATGTCCTCTGTTGGAGCCTCCTAGATCATGGAAGAGTCCCAGTTTCCCTCACTCACTGCAGGTCAATGCATGGCTCCCTGCCCGTCCCGTTCTCAACTCAGTTCACCTATTCTTGTTCTCAGAGCTTTCGCGCATCTCTCTCCCTGCTAAGCCGATTCAGACGCTGCAGTGGCGGCAGGAAACCCAAATCGTGGCTTCCAATGGTGCGGGCCCTAGTTTCCACGCTGAGGCTTTATCTGTTCGTGTTATAGCACCAGGATTGCATTCCCAGTGGTTTCTCTCAGCCTGAGTTCGTTCTTGGGTCAGCAGGGTATATCTCCTCTTTCTTAGGATTCCTCACTCCACACCATTCCTGGATTCTAAGCTGGGTCTTTCAGAGAGCCTCCATAGCTGCTGCTATCTGTCCGCCATGTTCTTCTGGAAGTCTTGTAAATTCAAACTTTTCTAACATACAAGAAATACTTTATGCATATAGACTCAAACTGAAAACCAAAAATATAATTACCAGTTAGTTACAACTTGTCATTTGATTTCTCCTGTAAAACTTTCTTAGGTTGACGGGCCTTGGGCTATTTACACCAGGTTGGAGTAACCCTAGCTTTCAGATGGTTGCAGGCAGTGCCAGCTGGTGATGTCAAGCAAGACCTGGCCTTGAGGCAGCCAGGAGGGGAGCTTGGGCTCTATCTTATTCCCTTGCATCTTTGAAACAAAATGGCAATTCCTGTTTTGCTTAGCCATTGGGCCAGCTTACTTTTCAGGTGTACAGTCTCTGTCTCTGTGTCTCTGTCTCTGTGTCTCTGTCGCTCTCTCTCCCTTTGTCTCTCTGTCTCTGTCTCTGTCTTTGTCTCTGTCTTGTTCTCTCTGTATTAACCTAACTGCATCAGGTCACCTGTATATTCTGATGTATGAAAGCTAAGTGTTTTCATATCTTTACACATTACTGTGCAATTTTTTTGTATCAGGTATCAAACTTATGACATTGCACTTGCCAGGCAGGTGCTTATATCGCTGTTCTACATCTCCATCTATTTCTTCAATTCCTTTTTTTTGAAACTGATTAATTAATTTTTTTCATGTCCTAGCTGAGCCCTGGAGACCTTGAACTTACATATTTTATTTTGTACACATATACACACACATTCATACACAGGCGTAGAGAAGTTAATATACTCCCACTCCCAAGTCAATGGGCAAATCTGAGTGGAACAGCACTTGCAGTGTTATACTCTGAGCAAAACAAGACTGGATCTAGAACAGGTATCAGACATAGATGTTGAGGACTGATGGGATCCTCCTTCATCCAGAATGGGGATAGTGACAAACAGGTAACTAACAAGTAATCAGGCACATATGACTTTCTTCAATGACTTTTGTACTGATGTTCCCAAATAATTGTCCAGCATAAAACTGTTGCATGATCTTGTGATCATGCAAAAGCTGTACATATTTTTTAGAAACTCTACTTCAGGTTTTGAATTTTGCCCATTTTTTAAAGCTACCAATCAGCAGTAGGACATTTTCTGGGCAATGCTGTGCAGTGTCAGTGGCTGCAGCTTCCTATGCATCATGGAGCTTCCTGGATGGACTGCTGGAGGCGGTCCACAAGATGCTGTGTAAAGTCATGTGGGGCCTAGCAGGACATTGATCAAGGAACATCTGTACTACTTAAAAAGCAGGAAATATGAGGTATCAACCCTTGTTCTATCTTAAGATTATTTTGTAAGTTTGGGGTGCTCCAGCATTCTATAAGTTTAGAAAGCGTGATTGCATTTCTGCAAAGAAAGTGTTGGGATGTTGATGGGCGTTGTATTAAATGTGTAGGTTCCTTTGGGTTTTATAAAACACAAGGAATACTTTTTTTATGAATACTTCATCTCATTCCATGAACAATATATTTTTTTCATAGATTTATTTTTTACTTACTTAATTTTAGTTCTTAAAATCTTTATGGACATCTTCTTTAACTTCTTTCAGCAATGTTTTACTTTTCCCTGTGCATAGCTTTCACTTTTTGGATTGCTTACTT